CTTGAGCCCAGGAGTTTGAGGTTGCTGTGAGCTAGGCTGACACCACGGCACTCTAGCCTGGGCAACAGAGCAAGACTCTGTCTCAAAAAGGAAAAAAAAAAAGAAACATACAGAGAGGTAAATCCATAGATACAAAAAGCAGATTGGTGATTGCAAGGGGCTGCAGGGAGGTGGGAATGGGGACTAACTGCTTATATGGTACGGGGTTTCATTTTGGGGCAATTAAAGTGGTATATATTTTATGATGAAAATTTCACCTCAATTTAACAAAAGCACCTGAGAAAGCAGTCAGAATAGTGGTTACATTTTGGGAGAGTAGTGACTGGAAGAGAATATGAGAGGGGTTCCTCGGGTGTTGGTCATATTTTATTTTTTGATTCAGGTGTTGGTTACCCAGCTGTGTTCATTTTGTGAAAATTGTTAAGCTTAACTTGTGATGTGTGTGCTTTTTTTATGTGAACATTATACTTTAATATAAAGCTTACTTCTAGGAAGTTAAATATAGTTATCATATGACCCAACTGTCATTCCTAGATGTACATCCAAGAGAACTGAAAACATAAGTCCACACAAAAACTTGCACAATATTCATAGAAGCATTATTCATTATAGCCCCAAAGTGAAATAACCCAAATGTCCATCAACTAATGGATAAACAAAATGTGGTATATCCCTCCATACAATGGAATATTATTCAGCCATAAAATACAATGAAGCAGTGATACATGATACAATATAGATGAACCTTGAGAAGAGTATGCTAAGTGAACGAAGCCAGACACAAACAACCATGTATCGTATGACTCCATTTATATGACATGTTCAGAATAGGTAAATCCACACAGGCAGAAAGCAGATTGGTGATTGCCAGCAGCTTGGGAGTAGGAGGTAATTGGAAGTGTCTCCTAATGGGTATGTGTTTTGGGGGGAGGTGATGGAAATGTTCTGGAATTAGATAGTGATGATGGCTGTATCACACTGAAGACATTAAAAACCACAGAACTGTACATTTTAAAATGGTGAATTTTATGTTATATGAAGTTTAATATCATAGGAATATTTCAATTAAAAAGTGGATCTTAAATATTTCATCATTCAAAATATATGTGAATTCTAGCATATCAAATAAAAAAAGTTCAAAGGGAAAAACATTATTCTAAAAAATACTCCTTTTCCCTCTGCCCATCCCCCAGACCAGTACATCTCAGACATGGACCTTCAGACACATTGGAGAATTGAGGTCTAAGCAGCAAAGCAGGGGATGGATGCAGGACTGTGAGTCATAGTTCAGTATACAAGCTTGTGACCAACATCTTTGACTGTCCCTGAACAAAGGAATGTGATAGTTGATGAGAAGTAGAACTGGGCTGGAGCAAAGGAGAGAAAGTGGTTGTGACAAAGTGTTGGCAACCCTGGCACCAGGCTGCTTTCCATTGCTTCATCCACAGGGTCATGCCTTAGGAATGAGTAGTCCTTCCTGATATAATCTCAGTAGCAAGAGGCCCTGAGGTACTTTTTACCCTTTACTGACTTCCTGTTCCACTGATGGCTTTGGTTATACATTATTACTCATGAATATTCCCAAAAGTTATAAAACCCATAGATTTATTTGGGCAGTAAACTAGACCTCCAGGACTCTAAAAGTATCTGGATTTACAAATCAAAACCAAAACTAGATTAATAGTTTTCTGGGTAAATCTGGAACTGGGGCAGCTTAGAATTAAATAAACCTCAGAGTTTATGGGACTTACAGGTAAGCTAAATTTTATTGGGTTCTGGTTCTCATTCCCACTCTGTTCTGAAGCCCACAGTCCCAAAGTACAAAGAGGATTAAAAGAAGTACCTATTGGCATTTTAGATGATCAAAGAAGTAAGGGGTTTCCTTGGTGTTTTGAAATAATGCTTTCCTGCTGCTCCTGTGTTCCAGATATTTCAACATGTGTAGGAGTAGTAGTAAGACTGAGTGGAAACTGGTAGACAGTTGTCTGATATTCCTGGATTTTTCAAACACCTCCTTTGTGATTGTCTCCCCTTTGTTGAGCCTCCTTTGCCTACTTGTACTCTACCCCTTTAAGGACCTACCCAATTTTACCTTGTTTTTGTGTGGACCAGTAAAGGAGGCTGGAACTGAGACAAGAGATGTTCAGAACTGGGGACACTGGGGCCCAGGACCCAGGAAGAATAGGAAGATCTGAACTCCAATGCTTTCACTAAGTATCATGGTACAAAATGAAAGATGGAAATTTCAGAGATAATTTGTTCAATGCTAAATGAGGTGAGGACTGGCAACTCTAAAATACATACCCTCTATATCTATTCTCATCTTGTTCCTCTTCTACTGGTGTGGGTGGGTGGGTGTGTGTGTGTGTGTGTGTGTGTGTGTGTGTTTCACTCACTCACCTTACCATATCCTGGCAGCTAAAATGACAGGGCCTTCTCCACAACCCATTCTGCCCCCAACAGCCATACCTACCTTCTGGAAGTCAGACCCTTGAGATGATTGCCTACTGGCCACAAAGGCGCTCATTTCCATGGTCTCTGTGGCTTCTATGCCTGCCTCCCTGGGGCAGAAATGTCTGCTGTAGTCCCTCCTTTTGGAAATCTGAAGGCTTCTGGAATTGCCCCTGAAAGGAAAGGAAGATAGGAAGGTGAAAGTCAATAACAATGTGATTATAATCATCTTTATGTAGGTGAGCTTCAGGAAGCCTGGATGGAACCTTAGCAGGGGCAGAGTATCTGAGAAATGAAAGAAAATAATACCACAACATGGTTGATTTTATCTCTTTGCTATCTTTCTCCACATCCTCCACTTTTTGTTCTCCCATTATGTAACTCTGCCTCTATTTTCATCCTGTTCCTTCACTTCCCTTAAACATACTCATTTCCCTTATTTTCTAAAAACTCCTTTCTTGCCTGATCCTCCACAAATGGAATGAACAAAAGTCTGAGAAGCTCTAAATCATTACATCTCGATATGAGTTATCTTTTGTCCTTCCACATGTAACAAAGACTCTGTCATCTCTTTGTGTACCTGTATTAAATTAAGCTTTGGGAAGACAGTTATCTTGATTTATATCATTTAATGTCCAAGTGCTTGTACGACATTAATGGATATGCACAACCAGCTCGATAGAGGTAGGGGCAAGGGAAGGGGAAGAGGAAGAGAAGAAGGAAAGAATGGTAACAAGTTCTTCGAGAAGGTATGTCACTCATCATCAACAGGAGTAATTTAGAAGTCTTGAAGAAAAAGGAGGACTTACTTGTAATCATAAAAAACAGATGAAAGAAGTGAAGACAGGGATGCAGTGAGTATGAAAGATATAACTTTAAAAAAAAAACATTATTTTTAATACATTTAAATATACACAGGGGGAAAAACCTGGTCTATAATCCCACAGCACCAGATAACCCTTAATGACATATTTTATATATGTGTGTGTGCATGTGTACATATTTTATGTGTATAAAATGTATTTTATACAAAATGCATTTTCATGGTCAGAATGTTGAAACAAAACAGAAGATACAAACAAAAAGTGAAAGCATCCCTCCCTCCCTCTTCCAGAGGCAACTTTTTGAGTTATGATTTAGTTTTGACAAAATGACAAGAGAATTTTGGCCCATAAAGTGTTGAATTACTCCTTTAGCCAAATCAGAGAGATTTGGGGTTGGACTGACTGACTTCAACATGCTTTATGAAATCTGGCTGGAAGGAGAAAGAGGGCCACCTAAAATTACAGCCTCCAAACCTTTTGCTGCTACCTCTAAGATTAGTTTACCTTCCTTCTCATCCTCAGTTTCTCTTCTATGAGCTACAGGAGCAGTGTGTTCTCCTGGCCCAAAACCACTATTCCAGAATGCTGTTGAAATGAGGGAACCACCAGAAGCCTTGATATATGCACTCACTGCTATAGACAGTGCTTTGTATACAAAGACTCAGGACAGAAGCAAGAGAACAGTGAGATTTTGGAGTGCTAAGCACCCAGGAACTATAATCAGCAATTTACAGTTTTAATCTACTTATAAATTGCTAAATATCAATAATCAGTTAATAAAAACAGCTACTATTACCATATTGATTCTTTCAGCAAATTATTTATTGAGCACCCCCTATGTGCTGGGCAACTACACTATGAATACGATTATTAAAAAAAAAAGTAAGTGAAGACAGACTTCCTGCTCTGGAGAGTTTATAACGTAGTTGGGGGAAGGTGGGGGAGGCATATATTAATCGAAGAAACATACACATAGAATTTGAACTATGTTAAGTGCTATAACATAAACATACCTGTTTATGTTTTCTTCTGAAAATGTACATAGAATGAGGGCAAATCAGGAGAATTATAATTTTGTAAAGACTTTCATTATAAATTCAATTGCTTAGGTTATCAATAAATAGTTATCACACACATACTTTAAAAATTACATAAACTTTACTGCAAAATTAAATAAAGATGAAATGTGCTCACAAGCCCAAACTATTTTTATTTGTCCATGTTCTCACATAAATTGTTAATAAATGAATATCTATGCTTAGGTTCTCATCCTGGGATTGGTAGACAAGCTTTGTTAAGGTGAGAATCAAGGTTTAGGAATATATACTTATTTTAAAAAAACACCTCACTTCTGTGATAGGTTATTTCCTCTTAAAACCCTCCCCCACTTTTTAAAAAATACACTTAATGTCCCTATGGGAAGACTGTGTCTACCCTCTCAACCCCATTTTTCCTTAGTCCCTCAACCTGGCCATGTGATAGACATATTTTGGCATACTCTGCTACCAAAACATTTAACTTTTTGACTTTGTAGAGATGAAGTGGCATGGGATGAAGTGGGAACACTCTATATTATTCAGCAATATCAGCAGAAACAAAGAATATTATGTGCCCTGTGAATAGAACAGCTGTGAATAGAAGAAAGATGGCTTAGAATCAGGAGGCCTTCATTCACAAAACCAAGTGGAATTTTTAGGGGATTATATCTACAACTTAGGTAAAATTAGGCATTTGCCCAAATTTAAACATAACTGCTGACCATTTGTTCTCACAGCTGAAGGAGTCCAATAAAAATTTTTCCTGATGTTTGTATAAATTTAAGTTATAGCACAAGCCACATGTAAAGATGGGGCCCATTCCTTGCATGTGTCTTTGTCTAATAAGTTGTCTAAGATGACAACTTATTTAGTACTGTGCTAACAGTGAATGAAAAGAAAGATTATGCTCTACCTCTAGGCACTAACTACTGGGTTAGAGTTCTGCCTTTTCTTTCACCTGGTTTCTCTGGAAAAGTTAGATCCCACTGATCAAAGAGGAGGAAGTCAGCAACACTGCCTGTCCATGCTACAGAATCTAAAATCTCTTCCTCTGCTGGTTCAAGGAAGATATAAAGAATGCCATTCCTTCAACTCTTAGAAGTGAGCATTAATCTAGAAAAAAGCCCCAGATTGGTAGATGCCTTTGGTGTAAATCTTGAAGTTATCCAGAGTACAAGAGGAACTGCTACCAAAGCTTAAGTCCAAAGTACTCCAGCCCCAGCTACTTGAACTAGTTCTGCCCTTCCTAGATTTTGCCTGTTTCTTTCCAGCCATCTCAAGTGCTCCACCCCACTCCTAGAGAGTTAAGAATGTGACTCCCTTTGAGAGAAAGTGAGGTTAGGATTGGAATCTGGATATGATTAACTCCTCCCCACTCTTTCCCTAAATCCATCTGTCTCTCCCCAAAGATAGGTGAATTTACTAAGTGAATAGGCCTGAAAATAAGTACAAACTGGTGTTTAAAATTCCTATGTTCACTGAATTCCTGTAGATAACCTCTAAGAATGGGGAGGGAGTAGTTCTCTGGGAAAACAAATCTTCCTGAAGCTCACCTGTGTTTAAGCTTTACTAAAGGGCACCTTTTGAGTTAGTCTATGGTTTCTAGGCCAGAAAAGTACACTGAATTCAGGCTTCAGCCTAAAAAGCAGGCCTATAAAAATTACCCAGGATGGCCTGACAGTGTACACATTTGGTGCTGAGATAGAGATAATGATCTTATCTTAAAGAAGGAAAACAAAACAACCCTGTGACACAGTGAAGTTAACTCACCCAAAATCACAGCAAGGCAAATGGCTGAGGAATATTCAAGGATCTAGCTCTCCCAAATGTGTGCCCTTTCCACAATATGATGAAGAGAGGCCAGGATGACTTCTAAACTGACATTAGCCAAGGTTCTAGAAAAATTAAATAGCCTCCCCAAACTCAACCTAAGGATTCTACACCTCTGAACACAAAGAAACAGGAAAAAAAAATTCTTAGGAAAAAAGATCAGCAATTTTGCATTATCTTTTGAGGAATAGGAGGGGGAATAGGATTCTGGGACAGAGATTAGAAAATCTGAGGACTGAGTTCCCTGATTCCCAACAGCACCTTTAGCAAGAACCTGATTGTCCTCGGGGACCTTAGTTCCCAGAAGATCCTAGAGAAAGTCAACACGAGGGTATATAAAAAGCTTCACAACAGGAAGATGCCAATACCCAACCAGTTGCCTACTCACTACCTGTCCAGGCAGTGCTAGGGCACAGATTATATAATCTAACATTCTGGCATGAAGGAAGCAGCTCTATACAAGTGAAGAAAGAATGGTTGGGGGTGTGGATAGACAATAAGGCAGCAGGGGTTAATTGTTCTAGTTTTCCTTTAGAGTTCAAATGTGTGTGGTTTCAAAACAAAAATCCAGAAAGAAACATGAGATTAATGCATTTATTCCAGGTAATTAACACATTAAAAATAAAGTTAAACTTGTCCAAACCAACTCATAAATTCTTTAATCTTTTTAACAAAATGTACAACCCAAAACATCACACTGTGGGGGAAATAACTTGGGAAAGGAGGAGGTAGAGGAAAGGATACATATGGGTTTGTGGAGCAGGGAATGAGTCCAATCCCAAGGCAAGTTTCAGATCTTCTACCTCTTCAGAACAGAAATAGCTGCTAAACAATTTAATACAATTTAATACAAAGTGTTACTGGATCACAATACAATGAACAAAGGCCATTTCAAAAATATAAGTGATCCCCAAAAGTGTATCTGCTCCCGGCACTGAGCCATGAATAAGCCTTACCGATCTGTTGTCTTCCAAAAGTGAGCCTGCCAGGTTTTCTTCCATGTTTACTAAGGCCATTTCCAAACAGGTCTGTGGGTTAGCAGGACCATCTCAAAGACAATAGAGTAAGGGAAGTACAGGAGTTGACATGCCAATAAGGGAAGTAACCAGTAAACAAAAATACTACTAATGGTGCATTTCAAACAATGTTAAGGCATCCAAATGAAAGCCTAAAAGATGAACAATTCTTCCTCCAAGTTTTCCATTTCAGCAAGCTTTCTGGTGTTTCTCCCAGAGATCCATCAGCTGCCCAGGAAATTGGGTAGGAATACAACACAACAACTGGAGAAGTCAGCTCTCTGTCTTCCCTCCTCCCCCACATTCCAGAAATGGCAGAGTCAAAGCCAAAATACAATCAAAGCACACTATGCGGTGAGCCAGATAGACATTTGATTTTAATGACAAAGTAGGAGAAAATAAATTGGCCAAAAAACAAATTAACAGAAAATACTTTTTTACAGATATGTATAGAAGTTATGACTGATTTGTCTGGTATTTTAAAGGGAAAGAAAAAAAAGGAGATAAATTTTTTAGCTTCCACAAACATTTACTGTGAGATGCTGACTGCATCTCTTGGTGTAGGTTCCAGATGAGATAGCAAACTAGTCCTGGATCTCTTCCGAGCATCTGATTTCTAGAAGCCAATTTGATTCATCCGCAAGTAGCTCTGGGTATTTATTCTTGGCTGTGAACACTGAATTCTCTGTGGTCCTGGATGGCATCAACTGTAGCTTCTTGTTCAAGCATTTCCTGAAGGACCATATTGCCTCCAACTGCCTGCTCCCTTGGAGGGGACTGTGAAGCCGGAGTTTTTACCAAATTCAAAGGGTTGCCATTGTCCTTATCTACTTGAGGAATTGCTACCTCTGTGATGGATGCATTCGGTATTTCTAGCTGTAGTGGGCCCATCTCCAGGGAACTACATGTAGAAGGGTCACCTGGCTCAGGGAGTAGAGAACACGGTTTCTCTTTCTGAACTCCAGAAGTCCGTGTTACAAAGTCAACAAGGTCTGGAAGGCAAGGAGATGGCCCAAGGCCTGCAGGATTAATTGTTTCTGATTCCAATCTGAGAGACTCTTGTTTCTCTAATTGGCGAGTTTCTTCTACTTCCTCAGGCATCATTCCTCCTGCTAACAGGTCAAGGGCCTGGTGTGTTCCCTCCAGGACCCCCAAGCCACGGTCAACATTTTCTATAGGAAATTCAGTTTTCAAAATGTTAGGAGAAGTGATGCTCACACTTAATGGATTAGGTGAGTTTTGTTCACTCTCTGTCTCAAAGTTAAGCACCAAAGTTTTGGGAGAATCTAATGGAAACCCAGAAAAAGATAGGATTGGTTCAAAGTCAGTGGGAGTGGAGGGATTACACCCTAGAGGTGATATAGAACTTTCTTCACATACTTTCTGAGACAAGGTAGTTGGGGATCTATGTGCTGGGTCTACCCGAGTATTGCGGAAATTAACACGCATATCCCCCAGATTCCCCAGCGTAGCAAGCTCATCTACCTTTAAGTCTGTAGCTTCAAAGTCTGCTAAGGCCTTGCTTTCTATTGTCACTGTTAATTCTGGATGGACATCTCGTAGCTCCAGAGCTTCCACTTCTGGTTTTTCCAGGCTCTCCTGGGTCTCTGGCTTCTTGTTCTCATTCCAAACAGCCAGCTCACAGATCTTTTGACTTTGAAAGTCTTTTGAAAATTTTTCTCTCTTGAGTTGGAGGCTCCTGTACCTAGAAGTTCTAGATGCTGATTCTGGGGCTGAATTTTCTAGCCACTCCTCACTACCAGCTGAAACTCCTTGCTCCTGTGTACTATCTGTTAAACACATAGCTGATCTGACTGGGGTTTGAAGATTCAATTCCAGGGCAGAAATTTTCCCAGGTATATCTTGTGGGTTCTGGAATAAAGACCTGGCTTTTGAAGGAAATGAGTCTATTTTTGCCTTTGTGGAAGAGAGAGCCTGTGCACTCAATTCAATCACTACTTTACTTGGAGTTTCACTTCCTGTCATCAATTTCTTGGACTGCTCAGCCTCTTTGTCAATCATTAGCAACTTAGGCTGTTCTAATTCTCCCTCCCACATGAACCTGTTCCCATGATTGAAATTAGAATCTTCTATGCTGTGAGGCCCAATGTTGGGCCCTGCTCCCTCTTCAACTATCCCCTCAGAGAGCTTTGCTACCCTTCCTTTTAGTTCAGTATTTGTCTCTACCTCACTTCCTCCACAATCCTCAGAATGGTGGAGCTCTTGGCTTTCTTTATTCTGGTTATCAGATTCTATGAGGTGAATTTCTACCAACTTCTGAGATTCCTTGGTATAGCAGTGTATATCTAAGAGCTGAGGGGCTGGTTCTACACCAGGTGGCCCCGGCTCTCCCAGGTCAAGCTCAGTTTTCTCCTCTGGAGATATATCCCTATTAGTGTCATTCTGGAAAGAACTAGAAGTCCACATGGCCAAAGTATCCGTCTTTGGGGTCAGAGTTTCATAACGCCTGCTTTGACACAACCTTGTCAGAGGCTGTAAGAAGCCATAGCTGCTCCCTCTGCTTTTTGGGTCTATGTGTTCTACAACTGACCATTTCCCTAAGGACACCAGAGTTTTTGCAATGGGCTTTTCAGAGTTGCTGACTACAATATCTTGAGACTTCTCTTGGGATGCACTATTGCTCAAAGTAGAAGTGGAAGAGGTGTCTGAACTTTCAGCTCTAGAGAGGTTGCTATTTTCCCCATTGGCCAACGGACTCCCACTCAGCTTAGTCTCAGGGGCCCCCTTTCCACCACTACTGTAGAATATGTCATACAGGTCCTTAGCATTGGCCGTGGCTAAGCATGAATTTCGCTTCTCCAATTTTTTGGCTTGTTCACTGAACACACTTGAGAGGGGTGGTGGAGGACGTACTAACACAGAGAACAGGGTCTGGTCCCGGTCACTCTCACTCACCCCAGGAGCTGTCTCATCAGAAGGAACGGCAGCTGGCTGTGTTGAGGCCATGATGGCTACAGGCAATACTGGGTTCAAAATGTTAGGACCCAGGAAGCCAGGGCTCAGAGTCTGAGATACAACTGGGTTTGATTTTACTGGAGCCAAGACAACATTTGTTTGCGCAGCAGACGGGGCAGCTGGATGAGGTATAGCTGGGGGTGGTGGAGGGGGTGGAGGTGGAGGTGGTGGAGGGGGTGGTAATATTTGCTCTGGTATATGGGATGGCTCATTCTTTTCAGCCAGCACCATTTTTTCCTCAGGAGACCCTTTTAGAATCACCTCTTCCCCTCCAAATGCTTTGGAGATGATGTCTGGAGGCAAGAGGAGATCAGCTGAAGACTCTTTAACCACTGGCAGAGGTTTAGCAGTGGTTCCAGAGGATTTGATGGACAGAAAGGTGTTAAGAGGAGCTGGTTTGCTCACTGTCGCTGAACCTGACTTGCGGAGTACTGTGGATGGAATAGGCAGGTTGGGTCGGATCTTAGTCTGTGTTGAAGTTGTCACAACAGGCATCCAAGGGCTGGTATGTGCAACAACGGTTTTCCCAGAGAGCTTGATTTTGATGGGCTTTGCCCTTCCAGCTTCAGTTTTGCCATCCTCTTTGTCCTTATTGCTTTCCATGATCTCTTCTTTAGGGATACTTGGGGCAACCACTGAACTTTTTTCCTCCTCTTTTTCTGGCTTTTTCCAGCTGAATTTCCCAAAAGAAGATGATGCTGGTGAATCCTTCTTTACCTCTTCTTTTAATTGGAGTTTGATGCTGGTGTTCCTTTTATTTTCAGCTTTTTCAAGGGAGTTCCTACCCTCAGAGAGTTGGTCTTCTAATTCCTCAGAGACTGTGTCATCATCCTTTACTTCTTTCATGACCTTTGCCTTTTTTTCTTTCTTCTCCTCCTTTGGTTTCTCAATAAGTTTGCGCTTTAGCTCACTCTGCCGTCGCCGTTCTGTCTCTAGGACCACAGCTAAGCCAGCTTGGCGGTCCAGATTCCGTCGCTCCTCATACAATGGGTTTTCGTCCACATATTTCTGGGAAGAGAAAACATAAAGGTTCAACAATTGGTCAAAATACTACAAAAGAGAAAATCTTGGACCTACCACTATTAGAATTCATTTAGCAGAAATCCCTAGCATAATCTTCCTCAAGGATATAGATGGTTCTACCGGTTCAGCATCTTTCACTAGGATTGAGGAGAACTTCCTAGTGGTTATTTGAAATTTGAAGTGTCAATGACTTTTTCTGGCTCTGAAGTTGTTTGATAAAGTCAAAAGGATTTACTACAGAAAGTTGGAAACTCCATAGGCTACTACAAAGACCAACCTTGTATTTCTCATTATGTTGGTGACCCTTCACATGTTGCTCCCCAGAAATTGGATCCCCCAAAAATTCCTCACAGAGCTGGCAGTAAAATCCAGTGATGGGAATCAGAAACTCAGAGCCTAGAAGAAGTAAAAAAAAAAAAAAAAAAAAAAAGGTCAAAAGAATAAGTTGTTTCCACCTACAATGACAGTAACCAAAGGAAATCCCATCACCCCTCTGCAGTAAAATGGTTATAGTGTAGAAGACCTCACCTACTTTGAAGTCAGAAGTAGCATTTAGGTGAATCCCAATGGCATAGGCTTCCCAACCTAAGGCTTGAACTCTAGACTTCTATTCCTTCTACCTCTTGGGAACACTAACTGGTTAATTCAGGAGTTTCCTGTGCCAGACTCATTCCTGTTGCTGATTCTCCTCAAACTCTAATTTGTACAAAGCATCTTAGGAGATTTAAAAAATTATACTCCCAAACAGCCCACTACCATTTATATAAGGATCTCTCATGTTGGTAATTAATTACTCAGGAACTCTATCTTCTATAGATCTAAAAGACATAGTAACAGCACTGGCTACCTGTGAAGGTAAGAACTTCAAAAGTGTAAAGACAAACTTTCTTCTTCTCAACTGTTTAAACGGAAATCGCCCCTTAATAACAATGACTCAAAATATTTTTATAGTTCTTAGTTGAAAAGGCAGTTAAATTACTGCATCTCTTAGTGTCCTTTTTTTTAACCTAGATTTCAAGTAAGAAAGATTTTGGTGCATAAACCAATGATAATGACAGTTCTGCTATATTTTAAGTGTCTATGTTTAATATCTGTTTTATTTTTAGCCATATGGGTAGAGATCATTGTCTTATAGATCTCTTTCTAGCTTCAGGACCCAGTATACTGTTTTGCACACAGAAGGCATTCTTATAGCTTGGGTAAAAGGAATGGCTTTCTCATGCTATGCTGCTTCCTAGCACCTTAGTTCAGGGACACCTCTTCCTTGGCTGAACATAAGGAAATCACAAAGGAGGCAGAGAGGAAACATACCTTTTGCTGGAACAGTTATCTTGTCAGTGCGCTTTACAGCATCTTGCTTGGCCTCACTGTGGGTCTTTGAAGCCCAAGGTCTGTTGTAGGGATCCAGTGTCTATTTGTAAGAGGCAGAGGCGCTCACACAACAGCACTAAAAACTCAATGACCCATTTTTCTCTCTTTTTTTCCCCCACACATAAGACCAGGGGACCAGAAGCCCCCAGTTGCCCACCCCCACCCCCTCTGCCAACTGTTTAAACGGAAATCACCTGTGGAAAAGGTAAACATATGTTAGAGCAAGTACTAGAAAAAGATAAAATGAAACAAAAAAATCAGGTACTCAAGGAATCAAAAGAGGCAGAAGCCTCACTTACACTTGTCATGGTGTTTAGTTACAGGCAGGTCCCCTGGACTGAGCCCTGGGGATGATGTCTCCTTTGTTGGTATTTCTTGGCTCTTCATATTGGGGCTCCTGCCCATATGAGAATATTTCATTTTCCAGCTTTGTAATGCAGATAGGGACATAGAGGTTTGAGGGAAGTGAGGGTGAGAGTGGAAATAACAGAGGGCAGGATACCTACCTGTGTGTGCTTCTTATTGTGCATATGGGTGAAGAAGTCAAACATGGTCCCACAGATGGTGTTGCAGTCTTTGCACCAGTGATTGCCAGCATCGTAATACTCATAAACAGCAGTGAGCTGATCAGATTGCTTAGTAGCTGGCTGGGGGCTTTCGGCAGGCTTGGGGCTCTTAGTACAAGACTTCTCATTGTTTAGCTTTGACTCCTAAAGGAGAAAAATCTGCACTTACAAGGAACTCAAGGCAATCTAGATCTGTCTTCTCTGAAAAAAAAGTAGCCATAATAATAGAAATATGGCTACATGACCATATTTCCAAACTCTAAAGCTGCACAAGCTGGAGGAAACTCCAAGAGAAACATGTCTCCAAGGCTCAGACTCCATAGTGCTATCACATTGTGGAGAGTAAATCATAATGGCAAATATAGTTACTTACATATCCTAAAATATCTCTAGAAGAATATCCAAGATTGTAGAAACACTGGCTTTCTCTGGAGAGGGGAAGTGAAGAAAAAAAGGTGGACAGGAGTCTTTCCACTGTATACCCTCTGGTAGATGTTCAATGTGTTACCTATGCAACTAAATACGTTAGTTAAATTTGATCATAATGGCAACTAGGGAGGGAAGAAAAACTAAAATGGAAAAGGTAACTTACAGGTTAAACAAAGCAAATACAGAAAACAGGTGACAGTGAATTCACTTATCACATGCATCCTGGTATGAAAAACTGGAAAGTAGGGTTGATGTTATATACAGATAAAGCAGACAGTCATCTATGTGGGATGACTTAAAAGAATCTGGCTAAAATATTCCTAACTGCCTAAAATGTCACTGTTAAGATTTAACACCTTTGTGTTAACGTGAATCCTCTTTTAAAACATATCAACTCCCTAACATTAAATTATCAATAATAAATACTTTAATATGAATTAATTTGTTACCAAGCTGGGAACAAGGCACTCAGGAAATGAGAATTTTGGTTACTGTTGGGGAGTAAGGCATAGAAAAAAGATAATTTTGCAACACAGAGGGTTAAGTATGATTGAGGTTCTATGGTAGACAAGATGAGGGAACTGGGCACCTGGAATATTAACTAGATGGGAGAAGAAGATAGGATAGAGAAGGGGAAACAATTAGGACTTCAAAGATACTCTTTCCCTAGCAGAGTCCTATTCAAGAGTCACTAAAAAGATCACACCCAACAGGTAGGGGATGGGAGAGTTCATATACTGCTGGTGGGAACATTAACTAGTACCATCTTCTGGAAGATAATCTAGGAACACATATTACATATCTCAAAATTTTGTATACCCTTTGACATAGCAATTCCACTCCTTGACATCTATCCTAAGAAAATTATTATGTAAAACAACAGGTGGTTTGAATGGTTAAATAAATTTTGTTATCCATACAACAAAAACAACAAAAATGAAGGTGGTTAAAATGATATTATACAAGTATGCTTACTGACATGGAAAGGTGTTCATGATATACTGAGAAAAGTAACAAAATACACTTGAATAATCAATAAAGATATGTACATAAAGGTAGAATGTTAAATGTCACTTTATCCAAAAGCTTCTCTAACCACTTGATACCCCTTACCCTGTTTTCCTTTTTTAGGTACTCATCATTACCTAACATGTACTTGTTTATTTATTGTCTGTCTTCTCCTATTCCATGAGAATATGAACCTTGTCTATATTGTTCCCTGCTATGCTTCCCGTATCTAGACTAGTACCTGATGCTTTCTTGGTGATCAATTAATATTTGTTAAATGAATTTATGGAGAGTGTTTGAAATGATATACACCGAAGTATTAATAATAGTTGTTTCTAGGTAGATGGAATTTTGCATTTTGCATATTTTTCTGAAATGAACAGGAGAAGAAAATGTCAAACCAAGTATGCATTGTAAAGAGAGACAAAGAAAGAAGAAACACCAAGGACAGGTAGTAAAGAAAGGTTGTAGAAACAACATTCCCTACTGCTGAGATGAAAACCAAAAGCATATCCATGGTTTGCTTCAGAGAACAGGAAGACTCACCCCAATCAAGATTAGAGATTATCATGGGGTGGGTGTATAAACAGAACCCCAATATGTAAGTTGACTACAAAGCACCAGAGCTTTTAAGCTCTTCTCCTATCAAAGGTGCTGGACTCAAGACCCAGGTATAAAAAGACTACAATCCTACCTGGTTAAAAAAGAGCACTCTCCTATGAAGACAAGGAGAAATTAGAGCTTGGGTGATAGACAATACAGAATACATCCTCTTCCCTATCCTTCAACATTACCTGAACATGCACTATAGGACAGACATACTGCATGCCATGGAAAACACAAAGATAAATAAGCTATACTCTTTTATCCTTTAGAAGCTCTCATTTAGTGGAGGAGACAGACATGAGAACAGTCTTTAAGTACAACAGAATGAAATAAATCTTACAAAGAAACAATATTGTATTATGTGAATGTTAAAGAAGGGTGGAATTCTGGGAATTCTTCATGGAGGAGGCAGTATTCAAGTTGGGCCTTCACAGCTGAGTGGGGTTGACAGAAAGATTATTGCAGGCTTAGAGGATTATTAATGCAAAATCAGAGAGGTATAATAGCATTTTGCACATCCGGAAAACTACAAGCTTTTGAGGTGGTAGGAGTGTAAGATATAGTGTAACGTTTCTTGAGTAGTACTTATTACTATGTGCCAGGCACTGAACTATGTACTGGGAACTATTAATATATTGGAGAATAAGAAAGATATGGCCCCTGATCTTTTGAACCTTAAAATCTAGGCCAGGCATGGTGGCTCATGTCTGTAATCCCAGCACTTTGGGAGGCCAAGGAAGAAGGATCACTTGAGGCCAAGAGTTTGGGACCAGCCTGAGCAACATAGTGAGACCCTGTTCCTACAAAAAACCAGAAAAATCAGCTGGGCATGATGGTGCGTTCCTATGGTCCCAGCTACTTGGGAGGCTGAGGTAGGAGAATCACTTGAGCCCAGCCCAGAAATTTTTAGATTACAGTGAGCTATGGTGACACCACTGCACCCTAGCCTGGGCAACAGAGTGAGACCCTGTCTCAAAAAAATAAAAAGAAATCTAACTGGGGGAACACATGTAATTACATAATTACAACTGTCATAATAAATGCTTAGAAGGAAAATTACAAGGGATCATGAAAGCGTATATCAGACAAATATAACAGTCTGGGGAACCAGAAAAAGAGTAAGGAAAGTCATTTAAACTGAGATCTGAAGGATGAATATGAGTTAGTTAGAAGAGAGGATAAGGAAAGAGTTGGGTTTGCATGGTAAAGAAAGGGAACAGAGGGGACGACACATTTAAGGAATGAAAAGGCTAATAATGAAACTACAGTGGACAAGGCAGAAAAAGAGACAAAATGAGGCTGAAGAGGTAGCGATAAGTATCAATATCGCTGGCTGCATGTGGCGAAAGGATTAAAAATGTAGCAATACAAACAAGAACTGATGTGGCTTGGACTTGGATGGCAATGGAGATGGTAAACTGGATAGAACTGAGATTTACTTTGGAGGGGGAGCTGACAGAATTTGTAATTGATTGGATGTGAAGCACTTAAGGAGAAACGAGCATTAAGAATGCTTTTTAGGGTTGGTCTGAGTGCAGTGCTGTTTACAACTAATTGATCACAACCAGTTACAGATTCCTTTGTTTGTTCTCCACTCCCACTGCTTCACTTGACCACCCTTAAAAAATAAATAACTAAATGAAAAAGAATGCTTTTTAGGTTATTGGCATGAAAACTGCTGGATCGTGGTACTATTCACTGAGAATGGGTAACATTAGAGGAAGAAAAAGTTGGAGGAAGGTTGAGCACAATCATTAATTTAGTTTAGGACAGGATGAATTTGAGATGCCTATGAGACAACGAAGTGGAAATGGTAAGTAAGCTGTTAAGACACTCACAAGATGCATTTTAGCTAGAATATAAACTGAAGTTATCACATGGTCTTTTAGAATAGAATAGGATAAAATGGCGTAGGGAGAAAGAGAATTCTGGAGAACTGGGCTAGGATTGAGCCCTGAGAGACTCAAATGTTTAAAGATCATGTACCAGAGGCTAGACAGCAAAGGAGACTACGGAGCAAGAGCTAGTGTACTAAGAGGAAAGAAGTGTGACAGAAACCAAGGGAAGAAAGCGTTTGTAGGAGAAAGTAGTTCTCTGCATCAAATGCTGCTAACTGAATTTTATCCATTGGCTTTAGCAACATGGTGGTGACCTAAACATGAACTTGGTTGCTAAACACAAAGCCCCAAATGGGTATATATACAAGTCGTGAGAAGATTAGAAGCCAGACTGGAGTGGGTTAACATACTGACTGCCACACTAGAAAAAAAATTTTTTCCTTGGGGCCACAATGTTTTATTACAAAAACAGAATAAAAACTTTGAAAACAAAACAATCCTTTCTAATTTAATGAAAAATTTGTTATTTTTTTATCATTTTCTGTGTGTGAGTTATATGCAACTTGAAAAATAGTTCACACAGCTCCCAAGGTAAAGAGACGTGTGAGTTACATATGCTTCATGAGGCCCCGGGCTCAAAACTAGTGTGAGTTAAATACAACTCACATGGCAGTTAATGTGTTAAGGAGTAAATGCTAGAACAAGAACATGGAAGGCCTTGAATACCGAGGATTTTGGTTTCTACTTTGTGAGCAACAAGGAACTGCTGAAAGTCTGAAGAAGAGTACCATGATCAGATCTATACTTTAAGAAAATTACTAACAAGAGTAAGAACAAGTTGGAAAACTAAGCAAGAAAATGGTTAGAAAGCTTCTATAGGAGTCCATGGGGAGAAAGACATAAGATAATAGAAATGGAAAATTTGAGTTGTTACCTTGTTGTTGGAGGAGGAATTTGAGGACGATGACACTTTTTCTGGGCTCTTAGATTTTTCTGTTTTCCCAGCCTTCTCTGTAAGCTCTTTACTGTCATTTGAAGACTTCTGGGATTTATCAAAGATGTTAATTCCCAAGATCTGAGCCACTTTGTCCAATTCAGATTGCTTCTTTTCTGCCTCTTCTGCCTCTTGTCGTAGCTCTGCAATGTCCTTCATAATGTTATCCTGAAGCCGACTCACCTCCACCAGGAGTGGGTCTTTGTGGCCATCCTTCTCCCTTCGTTTCTTGCGCAGCATTTCCCCTGAGTAGTCAAATGTTGTCAAAAAGAAACACAGGGAAAATAAGTTAAGATGAGTCATTTTTCATTTATAAGTAGTAATCTATCAGGGCTTATGGTTATAAAATTTTTTCTCACCAAAGTTTCTAAGAGCAAGTAAGACTCTCCTTTTACATGGGCTGGTGTAGGTGAAGCTTCTATGAAGGTAAAGGATGAGCGATTACATTATCTTTTGCGTAAGGGTTATCAGCTTAGGATCTATGGACAGGCTTCAGGGACTCCATGAACTTCTATAATAGTAAATACAAGTTTGTGTGTGTCCCTCAAAAAAGTAAATTCATGCTATAACTATAAATCCAGCAGCTATCTTCTTTTCAGAGAGCCAAACAATTATTCAGAGGATAAAAAACATTTAAAGTCACATATTTGACTTTATCTGATTTAAGGGCACTTTAACGATTTCTTCATTGAGTTTTAGGTTTTGCCTCAGGCTCACCCAATGTTACCTTCCATTCTAAACTGCAGGTCCTCATTTTAATTATCACAGGATAAATAACTAAATTTCTCATCTATAAACAGTTGAAATCCGGCCGGGCACGGTGGCTCACGCCTGTAATCCTAGCACTCTGGGAGGCCAAGGCGGGAGGATTGCTTGAACTCATGAGTTCAAGACCCGCCTGAGCAAGAGCGAGACCCTGTCTGTACTAAAAATAGAAAGAAATTAGCCAAACAACTAAAAATAGAAAAAAAAAATTAGCTGGGCATGGTGGCGCATGCCTGTAGTCCCAGCTACCCCGGAGGCTGAGGCAGATGAATCGCTTGAGACCAGGAGTTTGAGGTTGCTGTGAGCTAGGCTGACACCACGGCACTCTAGCCCGGGCATGGAGTGAGACGCTGTCTCAAAAAAAAAAAAAAAAAACAAAACCAACAGTTGAAATCCATACATTTTAACTAAATTTCTCATCCTTAAACTGTCCAAACCTAGATAGAAGCAATTATATCTTCTCCTACTCTCTGGTTCTTTCATACTATCACCAAGCTGCAGTATTTAGAAGCCTTGTCAGGTACTTTCCTCACTGTGTACATGAATTCCTAAAAGCATAGAGGTAGAGATGGAATAAAAAGTGAGGCATAATGAAATATCTTTTTGTGCCAAAAAGTAAAGAAATACTAAAAAGGCCGGGCGCGGTGGCTCACGCCTATAATCCTAGCTCTCTGGGAGGCCGAGGCGGGCGGATTGTTTGAGCTCAGGAGTTTGAAACCAGCCTGAGCAAGAGCGAGACCCCATCTCTACTAAAAAGAGAAAGAAATTAATCAGACAACTAAAAATATAGAGAAAAAAAATTAGCCGGGCATGGTGGCGCATGCCTGTAGTCCCAGCTACCCCGGAGGCTGAGGCAGATGAATCGCTTGAGCCCATGAGTTTGAGGTTGCTGTGAGCTAGGCTGATGCCACGGCACTCACTCTAGCCCAGGCAAGAGTGAGACTCTGTCTCAAAAAAAAAAAAAAGAAATACTAAAAAAAAATTATGGGGAAATATCAAAAGGACACAGGAGCCAACTAAAGGGGCTCCTATGGAACAATTTGAGCATGAAATAAACAATGATAATAAAAAATTATAACTTATTGAATGAGGAATCCATGAATTCACACTGATATAAATGAATAAACAAATGGGAGTAGGGGTTGGGAAGTTCCTCCTTACCACAGAAAGCCAACATTAGTAAAAGGAATGACGAAATTAAAAAATCACTATTCAATAATCATCATATTAACTGATTCAGGCAAGGATCACCAATGAATGCTAAAACTAGTGGGTGGAAGCTTGAGGAAAATTGAATATTACACAGCCTCAAACTATCCCCCCTATAAGATACTTACTAATTAAAAAGGATAAAATAATAAGTTTATAGTAGAGAAACCTGGCAGATACCATCTTAACAAAATGATTAAAGTTAACATCACCAGTAATGGGACAAATCAACATATGATATGAAGTAGTCAGTGTCACTTCTATGATATTCCTGCCAAAAATGAATAGTGTGAATTCAATCATAAGGAAACATAAGACAAACCAAAATTAAGGGACACTACAAAATACGTGACCTCCCCACTTCTAGAATGTCAATGCTGTGAAATAAAAAGACTCAGGAACTGTTACAGATTAGAGAAGACTAAAAGAACGTGACAACTGAATGTGATGAATTATCTTATACTTTCATTTGGTATAAAGAGCACTGTTGGGAAAACTGGTAAAATAGGAATAATATTGTAGACTGGATAATAGTAATACTTTTAATTTCCTAATGTTGATAAATATATTACAGTTATGAATGTAGATTCTTTGTTGTTAGGAAAAATACACCCTTAAGAATTCAGCAGTGGCCGGGCGCGGTGGCTCATGCCTGTAATTCCTAGCACTCTGGGAGGCCGAGGCGGGCGGATTGTTTCAGCTCAGGAGTTCGAGACCAGCCTGAGCAAGAGCAAGACCCTGTCTCTACTAAAATTAGAAAGAAATTAATCGGACAACTAAAAATATGTAGAAAAAATTAGCCGAGCATGCTGGCACATGCCTGTAGTCCCAGCTACTCAAGGGGGTTGAGGCAGAAGGATCGCTTGAGCCCAGGAGTTTGAGGTTGCTGTGAGCTAGGCTGATGCCATGGCACTCTAGCCCAAGCAAAAGAGTGAGACTCTGTCTCAAGAAAAAAAAAAAAAGAATTCAGGAGTAAAAGAGCATCATATCTACAACTTTAAATCTAAAGGAGTTCAGGAAAAATTATACACACACATGCATGACTGAGAGAGAGAAATAAAAGGATAAAGCAAATGTAGTAAAATGTTAGTAATCTGGGAGAAGAGTACCTGAGAATTCTTTGCACTATTATTGCAACTTTTCCGTAAGTCTAATATGTCAAAAAATTTTTTAAAAAGTAAGGCTTCAGGTCACTGAACCTGTCTGAGAGTACCAAAACCTCTCCGTTTGGGTCTCCTATTACGACAAAAAGGCAGTCATGCAAAGGAGATGTCTGGTACCTTGTTGTTTATGAAGCCGCTCCAATTCGGTCCTGAGATAGTACATCTTCTTCTGACGGGCTTCCCGGTCACTCTTTAGTTTTTCCCTCTCTTCAATAACCTGCAAAGTACAAAATGGCAAGATCCTTTATCCTCCAGCATTCTTCCTTTTCTATTTCTCTCTTCCAAAAACCTTTGTGCTAGACATTATCTTAATGTAGGGCTCCAAATACCTGCACACAGCAGCTCTGACTTTATAGTCAAAGTGATATTTCATTCCCATCTAAGTCCCAGAATAGAATCATCTTTTATTTTTCTTTTCAGAATTACACTGCTCAGAAAGTACTGTTTTTATGTAGGAAGCACCTAAGGTCACTAACAGCAACTATTAGACAGTGGTTCTGAGCCCCAAAGGGAACCATAGAGAAGGGAACTAATATGTGTTATAGGTGAGGCACAGTATTAGTTACATTTTATATTTCATGTTATTTAATCCTACAACCTTTTCCCTATTTTACAGTAGGAAAACTGAAGTTGTACATGATTCAGTAACTTATCCAAAGTTCTATCTACTCTTACCCAGTAATAGCAGATTTAAAATCCAGGTATATCTGTCCTAAAGCTCATGACCTTTCAACTATATTACTATCATCTAATGGAAAGAAGCAAATTTGGCTTGTCTATAATAGGCCAATGTACAATAACAGGTCTATGTATTATCAGCCCTGACTTGGGTGTGCTAGGCTCTTAAAGGGAAAGTAAAGAGAAAGTCCTCAATCTCCAAATACTGTCTCTGAGGTCTTAAGTTTTATCTCTATTGAACCTATTCCCTTTTTCTCCAAAAGACTTCAATAAAACTAAAGACAAGTTCACAGAAACTGAATACAACAGAAAATTAAGAGGAAGTATTTTTTATCTTCCCAAGGATTGGCTAAATTTTTTTTAACTGGGAAAAAATAAGATTGTTCCTCCAATTTCCTTTCCTTTTTTTTCTCCTCAGGTCTTAATTTTTTTATAAGCTAATCAAATTTATACACATTACATTTTTATGTTCCTAAAGTGACTTATTATCTATTAAAGACCTTTAAAATTAACAGTGTATATTAATTTTTCATTCAAAATTCTTCTATCCTGTATTCCTCATGCCTATATGATTTTCACTTACTGCTCTAAATTACCAGAAATAATTAGGGAAGCCACTGCTCCCTTCCCACAGCCTGGAAACCCAAGGAACCTTAATACAAAAATTGCTTTTTAAAAAGCGCCATAAAAATATGTTATTATCATTCCTGGCCTCTAAGATAAAGCAGAACAAGCAAAATTGACTTCCTGATTTGCTTTACTTATCAAGCAACAAGTAATTATTTGCTTTTAACTCCCATAATCATTACAGGGAAAATGATCTAGAACTCACTGGGATGAAATAGGTTTACTGATTCTCTTTCACCCAATCCAATTTTGGTTCCTCACTCCATGAGGACGTCATATTGAAGACCTGAAGCCTCCTAACTCCTACCCAGTGTTTTAAGACAATATGGATAGAGAAATAAATTGAAAAAAAATTCTAGCTATCACAGTAGGACCTAGGGCCAGACTTTTGTTTAGTCCTACAGACAAAACACGTGAGAAGAACACAAGAGCTATATACATTTCTTTGGGTGATGACAGCAGCCTCCAAAGGACTTAAAATGAAAGGGCCTTACAAATTTCCAGCCCCTCCTAAAAGGCAAATACAAATTTATGGTAAAGTAGACAACTCAGGCACAAGATATGCAAAGCTAACACTCACCTTCTGCTTCTGGGAAGCACGGTTCTTCTCATCAGAGATTTTCTCTGGATTATATCTTATGAGTGATGGGATGGACACCTGGACAGGCACTTGGGCTGCAGGAATTGAGCCTAGCACTGGCTCCTCCTGCTTGGGCTCATCAGGAGTCACAGTAGGGATCACACGGAGATTAGGACGGCTGCGAGTAGCTTGTTTGGTTACTGGCATTATCCTGTGTGGTTCTGGTAAAGAGTGGTTTGACGATTGAGAGGTGGGGTACATGGGCCATCTTGAGGCTGCGTATGCCATGTAGTGCCTGTAGGCATCAAAGGAGGCAGGTGGAATGGCAGGTCCCTGGTAGTTTGGAGGTATCCGAGCTGCAGCAAACTGAGAGGCCCTTGGCATATGAAACTGAGATAAAGAGGCAGAATGTGGAAGTCTAATTGGGGCAGATGGGGCTGATGGCAACATGCACCTGACCGCAACAGATGACTGAAACCCACTGCCGACCACCTCTGGTCCTGAAATATGACCCATTGGATGGTCAGACTTTAGGAACGGGGGGCTGTTTTTTGTGAGTAGGTAAGGATCCACAGGGGAGGCTGGGTGTGGATGGGACACCTCTGGGGAGAGAGTATTGCTATGGTGTGCATCCCTGATCTCCAGTCTGTGGGGATCTGAGGAGCGCCGATCAGCTGAGAAATGGCGGTCAACTGAGGAACAGCGGTCAGCTGAAAAATGCCGGTCAACTGAGGAACAGCGGTCAGCTGAGGAGCGTGATGATGGCTTCTTGCCATGAAGTCGTTCCTGGGTGCGCGCAGCCAGTTTACTAATCTCTGCTACTCCAATATCCAGCCCTATGGTCTTGAGCAAGTCATGAATCTTGGCATATTCAGGATTGGTCTCTTCTAGCTTTACGGCTGGAGCTGAAGAGGGCAGGGAGCTTGCGTTTTGCCTCATAACTTCACTTTCAGAGCCCCCATGGGGCTTTGGTAGGGATTCTGCCTTTGAGTCCTCTTCTTCATCCCCATAGAGAAATTTCTCCTCATCCTCAATGTCAGGGAAGCTACGTCGCCTTTTTTCCTGTGTACTGGTAGAATCAGCCAACATGCTCAGAATGCGGGAAAAACCACTGCCATCCTGGCTAGCTTTCTCATGGGGCAGTAAGAAGTCTGTGTTTCTCTCAGGTCCCTCAGCCTTCTTATCCAATTTCTCCTTGCGGCACAGAAAACCTTCAAATTTTTCTCTGAGAGGACTATTATCTTTGGGCATTCCAGGGAGGGGACCCCACTGGTAGAGGTTGCCCTGAGGTTCCTTCAGGGAAGTCTCTACCATAGTCCCCTTGTTTTCAATCTCTGAGGCAAAGGCAGCAATAGCACCACTTAGTGGAAGAGATGGGTGTCCAGAGTAGAGGGGGTGATCCTGGCTAGAGCTGGTACTGCTGGAAAAACTCTCGAGCTGCAAAGACAAAAACAACTGATTTAGCCCCTATGCAGAATCTCAGAACCCTAGTAATTGAGATAAATATTAATATTTAAATACTCTGTTCTTCCTCACTTAATAGGGGAGATATAAGTACGGATAAAAGGGAGGTAAAGTATCCTCAGCTAGGTTTAAGATATGGGTCCTCGTCTCTCTAGATGTCTCTGCTATAGCAAGGAGAAATAGGAAAAGAGGTAGATTAAATGAAATCCTCACCTTTGCCAATTTGTTATAGACTTTATCAAAGAATCTGAATTCCAAAGGATTTTAAAGATCCCCTAGCTTGTTTGTTTTCTCTCTATGGATCCCCAAAGAAAAACACACACAAAAGTGGAGCTGCTTTGGCTGAAGTGAGGATAGGAAACTCTGGAACCCTAACTGATCAGCCTTGCCTTGCTTCTCTACCTGTCCTTAGGCACTTCCTCAGAAGACTTTAGCTCTTGAGAGAACAGCTAAAAACTAGTGGTCTTGCCTAACCATACTTTCACAGGTGAGGGAAAAAATATCAAGGCCCAGAATAGTGAGGTGACTTGTCTAAAAATCACACAGCAAGTTGGTGGCAGAGGTGAGTCTAAAATCAGAATCACCTGATTTCTTATCCAGTGTCCTACAACTCACACATTTTGTCTGCTCTCTAAAGAGAGATAAGGAAATTGAGATCACCTCCTCCTCCCCTTGCCCTTCAAGCTTCCTTTCCAAGAAACCCATATTCAAAGATTCCTACAGGGCTGTCCAATTTAAGGAAAAAACTTACAACAGTTCCTCTCCGAAACATCTGTTTAGAAAGCCTATATTATACGGCAATAGAAATTCTCTACTGATGCATAATGAGGCCTACAGTTTCATTTGGAGAGTCCTAGAAAGTATAGCTCATAGGCATAACAATGTTGGTCCAGCATATATTACAAACATACCATTAGGGACATAGCCCCCAGGGAAGTAACCAGGCTTTAAGATAGTAGAGGGACTAACAAGAGACCCTAGAAGATATGCAGCAGAAACCTGCATAGAAGGCTCCATGTCCACCTCAATCCGCTTCTTCAGAATGGACTTCTTGGGCATCACAGACACTTCCTCAGGCCGATGCAAAGAATATCCTGGCTCCGATGCTGTTAGGACACCTGATAATCCAGGGATGGAACAACTAGTGCCACCACCATCAACTTCCACCAGCTCCTGACTCAAGCTCCTACTTCGTTCCTCCTCTTCCTCTCGCTTTCGCCTGGCAAGATCCAGCTCTCGAAACTCAGGGTCTAGAAACCTAGGGCTTGGGCTTTGTCTACGCTGTCGATAGTTGCGAGTCCCTGATGTAAAACTTGGATGATCCCCTCCCACGCTGTGCATCTTCTCTGTATCATCATAACGGACTCTTTTGGCTTCCCGACTCCTCTCCTCAGAGCGTATAGAGTAGGAGCCTTTGAGTTTTTCTCTATTTCGTTCTGTTCCCCGCAACAGCTCGTCATGACAACTGATATGGGGACTATAATCAGATCGATGCACGAAAGTTTCTCTTGTTCGGTAGTCCTCATCAAGTTGTCCCACGAAGGGACTGAGAGGCTCCTCCTCCTGGGAAATGTATCTCTCAAGACCCCGAGAGCATTGGGAGCTTCGAGTGAAGACAGAGTCATCAGTCAGATCATCCCTGAAGAAAGAGACAAGCATCACTGAATATAATGGACTTGAAAAGAGCAAAAGTAGACAAAGCTAAGAGACCGACATTTGGCAAAGGGGCTGTACAGTGCTTGGGACAAAAGATTATAATCATGAAGTCCAAAAACAGACCTATGTACAGTATGTAGAACATTTCCTCTTCCTTTCCCCAGAGGTGCAAGCAGCTTCAGCCTCTAACCAACGGGTGATATTACCAATATATCTATTAATAGACCCCTTAAGCTAATTTCTTTGACTAGACTTTGGGGATGCAGAGTATCATGCAGGTTACACAACTCCACCTTAGCTAAATTCTAGCTCTTTGCTGGTAAAAGTGTGGTATGGACCAGCAGCATTAGCATTACCTGGGAACGTTTTAGAAAATACAGATTCTTAGGCTCCATCCCAGGCCTACTGAACCAGAATCTGTATTGTAACAAGATCTCCAGGTTTGTGTTTGCACTTAAAGTTTGGGAAACATCAGTCCAGATCAGTGGTTTTTAAGCTGTGTTCCACAGAGACTCTAGAGTTCTTAGGAGCTGTTAAAAGGAAGGAGGTGTTGGAAAGGCAGAGCTGGCAGCACTCTGGCCCTTCTACCTCATTTAAATCACACTAGCCCCAACCTTGTATCTGTATAATATTTCATCTGGGAAAAAAGGTGTTTCACTGTGGGGAAAATATTTTTTAACAACTGATCTATCTAATTAGCACAATTTTTTCATGCATTTTAGAAGGTTCTTCAATGCTTTGTCTTGCTGGCTCACATATTAAAACCACAAAACTCCCTCACACAGACTGTTTTGTCACCCTCTTTCCTTCCTTGCCTGGTTATCAACAAGCACTCTGCTAATCCTGGGCCCAGGAAAGAGTAAGTGATGGTTTACTTCACCATATAGTTTTATTTCATAGAAATAACAAAGGTCTTGGATCTTCATGGCATGAAGGGAAAAACACAGGATGGGACATCCGTCTTTTTAGCTCAGAGCTCTACACCACACACAATAGTCCAAATCTTTTGGGGCACTATGGCCACAGAGCTTCTATAGTAGATAGTATTTTAGCAATGGAGTGACTCAACTCATAAACATTCCTCACTGGAAATAGGTGTTGTTTTCAGCTAATATATAGAGTAGAATTTTCTACTCTAGTTATGTTTGATTTCAGAAATCATCCTTGGTTTATTCCTATTCCTTCCTATTTCATACTACATTGAAATCTTAAAATTCTCCAGATTCTTGGGGAGTAGATGGGTAATATGCATCTGGATTCTCATAGGTGGGAAGATTCTGATTTAAATCATAGACAGAAATAAAGATCCTCTAGCACTTTAAGTATGTAATTTTAAAATAATCTAAATGAAAAATAAAAGTGCTTACATGTCACTCACATTCCAAAGTGAATTACCATCTAGAGGATGGTAATTATTGGTGTTTTCTAGAGTTTCTAGTAGCTACTTTTGTTTTCTGTGTTTCTAGAAATAACTTTTCCTTGTTTTTTAATAGTTGCCTTCCTATCTCTGGGACTACATTAGCAGAACATCAAAAAGTTGCCTTTTCTTATTTACCAGCCCTGTCTCTGCTCAGTTGTATACCTGGACAACAGCTATAAATAAAGTGATGAAAGGCTATCAAGGATAAACTTTATCACATCCTCTATACCAAGAATGCCACATGTGGGAATCCAGATTCCTGTTACCAATCTCTTCCCCAAGAATATGGGGAATTTTAAGATTTCAATGTAGTATGAAATAGGAAGGAATGGGAATAAACCAAGGATGATTTCTGAAATCAAACATAACTGGAGTAAAAAATTCTACTCTGTAGGTTAGCTGAAAATAACACCTATTTCCAGTGAGGAATGTTCATGAGTTGAGTCTCTCCATTGGTAAAACATTATCTACCAAAGTCTCTGATCATATTAGTGTAGGGGAAAAAAAAAAAAGGGCTCCATGGGTAGTGGCAAGTTCATCTACATTCCTATGTTCAGCTCCCTGCTAGAACCATCACATATCACCATCAAATGGCATACTAGCCCAAGATCTAACCCAGAACTAAATATTAAGAAGTTAGAAATAATAAAATGGCTCTCAGAAAGGCTAACTTGAAATCTCCAGCAAAAGGAGGCATAGAACAATGAAAGAAGGCATAAAAACATCAAAAAAAAAAGTTATCATGTAAATATAGGCAAAAATCAGGTTGCTTATTAGATGTTCATGTTCTCCTTCCCCTAGACTCCCAAAGGATGAGAGAGAGAACTGGCTGCAGTAAGAACGAGCCCTAAAAAGGGCCTCATCTCCTATAGCCTGCAATAGTCCAGTGATGGATACTCTCTGAAAGCCTTGGTTAAGTCCAACTATTTTCTAAAATAAGGTCTATTTAAAAAATTGCTGAATGTGGGTGATGGCTACATGGGAGTTCTCGCTGCTTTTCTGTGTTTACAAATTTCCATTAAACAAGATAAAAAATATATATATCCACATAAAAGCTTATACACAAATGTTCAGAGCAGCATTATTCATAATACCAAAAAAGTGAAAATAACCCAAATGTTATCCATTCACTCACTGTTGAATGGACAAAACGAAATGTGGTATATCCAAACAATGAAATGTTATCAGCAATAAAAAAAGAATGCTACAAACATGGATGAACCTTAAAAACATTATGCTAACTAAAAGAAGCCAGTCACAAAGGACCATATAGTATACGATTCTATTTTAATGAAATGTCCAAAATAGGCAAATCTATAGAAAGTAGATTAACGACTACCTATGGCTAGGGATAGGATGGAGGGAGTAATGGCTAAAAGGTACATGGCTTCTTTCTGGAGTAATAAAATTGTTCTAAAATTGATTGTAGGGTAGAGGCACAACTCTGTGAATATACGGAAAGTCACTGAACCGTATACTTTCAATGGGTGAATTGTATACGAACTGTATTTCAATAAAGCTATTAAAAAATGTGTATGGGCTGGACACAGTGGCTCACATCTGTAATCCCAGCACTTTGGGAGGCTGAGGCAGGAGGGTCACTTGAGCCCAGAAGTTTGAAGCTGCAGTGAGCTATGATCATGCCACTGCACTCCAGCCTGAGCAACAGAGTGAGACCTTGTCTCTAAAAAAACATACATATATAATTTTTTTAAAAAAGTCCTTCAGAGCCCAAACTCTCCATTCTTCTCCTTTGATGAATCCCCAAAATGCCCATAGAAAAGCGTTTGTTTTTGTCTAGTCCCTAAAGCAAATGAGAAGGGGAAAAAAACTCCTACTCCTTCAATCTATGTCAGTTAGGGCACGGAGAAGGAATTAGGAGATAAGAATTCCATGAGTAGAACACTTAATGTGCAAAGTACTTTGACGAACAGGACGAACAGACCTCACATCCACAAGTCTTTAAAAGCTAAGTGTCTCAGTATTTTTCACACAACCTGTTCAAGTTCTCCTTTCAGAATAAGTTACAGTTCTACATACAGGGCTGCTAAGGTGAGGATACTAACAACCCTAGGACCTTGGCTGTCACCCAAGCCTGATATAAAACTTAACAGACTCAATAAAGGAAAAGAAAGAATAGTAGGGTCTCAGGAAAAAAAAATAAAACATTTACATACAAAGGATGTAAATGGCTTATTTCACTGGCTGAAGACTAGACTCACTGTGAGAAGTCATCCTGAGTATGCCAATGGTCCTGTGGATTGGTTTTAGTGCACAGTAATTATCCACACAAACCATACTGAATAAGAGGAAAGGAACACAAATGTATAAGGATCAAAAGTATAAACAATGACCTTGCACCTCCATTTAGAACCTTTGTCTCACTTTTCCTAAAGTATACTTGTCTCTCTGAAATACACAACTCTAGAAGATTACTGTCCCAAACTCCCTAAAATTTTAATTTTTATAATTTAAAAATACAATTGGTTATCTAAAGCACATACGCACAACAAAGTTTATGCGAAGGGGAGGTGACATTCTAGGTCTAACAAGAGGAAATGCTGAAGTTAACTCAAAACCTCAGCAAGGAAGGAAGACAATCATCCCACACACCACCTACCCAGACTGCCTACTCAATCATCTCCCAAAATAGAAATAGCCGGAAAGGCAAGAGCTGTTGCCTCAATTAAGTGATACAGTCACATACATTGAAGCTCTATCTTCAGAAATTTCAGTGTTATATGACCTAAGATTGTCCTGCCTTGTTACACTGCCTCCACAGCCACTGGAGCTTTGAAGTATGTATTACCAATGGCAGCACTGGTCCTCAGACTTCCTGCCCAGCTGTCCCCCACCTGCCTGGCTACGCTCTATGCACCACTGCACAGACAGTCATTACACTGATTTACTGCTACTGCTAATCATTTATGAAAACTCCCAATGTGCTGGGCAGAGACCTAACAGTCTCAACTCTGAGAAAGTACTTTCCTGCATTCCCATCCTTACCTTTTTACTTTTGTGAGGTGAAAAACACCCAATATGATTATTTACATCCTATATATAGTTCAGTTCCTAGTACCTAAGGTCTATATTCAGCGCTCTGTGGGGTGTAGTTGCCCTTCCTCAGCACTTAATGGTCATAAAGTAATAACATTTTTAAAGATCTCCAACCTTCTATCAATACTTTATATACTTAATATACATACATATATTAGAATTGAATTTATTTTAACACTTTCTGAATCTATATTTCAGCCTGGACAAGCTAAAAAAAATACAATTAAAAAAAGATTTCCTACTTTGTCCAGAACTTACCTTTGAAGAAGGGACCCCCTCAAAATTTCAGTATTTTAGAATCCACTCCATCTCAACTGTTTTTGATTTGGGGGACTCTGATTATGTCTTCTCTGTCTCTTCTTTGTAGTCAGACTAGGAAAATCTTTTTGTTTTTTCTTTTACACAATTCATTTAGCAAGAGTCTACATCAATAAACTCTTCCCACTCAGAAAGCCTTTTTCCAATGTCATACTTTATACTGGAAACACGGACACATGGATACAGGGAATAACTTTAGTGCTGGTATCATCCTTCAAATACATCATTCAGAAAACAGCAACATTTTTGCCTTCAAGTACGAGTATAGTGCACCCTGCCTTAGCTAAAACCTACCTGTCCATGTCCTCCAGATTATCCACTGGTGATCCCAGTCGATCGCTAAGCCGTCGCCGTTCTGGTGTGGTAACACAAAAGTGATCATTGCCAACAGTGATCCTTAAGCTCTGTTCCAAAGAAGAGTCAGAACGCAGACCAGGAGAGTGTCTCTATAAAAGATAACATGGTTAGTCAATACAGCCAAAACATCCCTATCCCCAAAACATTCTCCTTCCTAGTCACGACGCTGACGCTATGGTCCAACAAGGTGAGAAATAGTTATGGTAAGATATTACTCCAAAAGTAAAGAGCTTTTAAAAAATTATCATTTTCTTAGAGGAAAAAAAAGCCCATACTGCTAATTCTCCCAAAGAGTGACCTCTCATTCTTATTGGACATGGGAACAGAGAAGCCAATAAAGTCCCTGATCTCAGAACCTATACATTTTAAGTGGAGGCAAGCCAAAAATAGGTTTAAGAAAAGTACTTCTGATAGCCATAAATGCTGTACAGTCATTAAAACATGATACCATGACAGAGAGTGGGGAAAAGGAGTTACTGCAGATAGGATGGTTAGAAAAGTCTCTTCTGGCCAGGCGCGGTGGCTCACGCCTGTAATCCTAGCTCTCCGGGAGGCCGAGGTGGGCAGATTGTTTGAGCTCAGGAGTTCGAAACCAGCCCGAGTAAGAGCGAGACCCCGTCTCTACTAAAAATAGAAAGAAATTAATTGGACAACTAAAAATATATAGAAAAAACTAGCCGGGCATGGTGGCGCATGCCTGTAGTCCCAGCTACTCGGGAGGCTGAGGCAGGAGGATCGCTTGAGCCCAGGAGTTTGAGGTTGCTGTGAGCTAGGATGACGCCATGGCACTCTAGCCCGGGCAACACAGTGAGACTCTGTCTAAAAAAAAAAAAAAAGAAAAGTCTCTTCTGAGGTGAAAAGCTGAGGCCTGAATGATGAGATGTCAGCTTTGTAAAGAACAGGCTGAAGCATGTTTCAGGCGAAAAATCACCTCAGTAATGAGCTTGGCATGTTTTAAGTAACAGAAAGACAACCAGTGTGGCTGCAGCAAATGATGACAGAAGAGGAAAAGACAGGTAGAAATCAGTTAGGAAATTTGGAGTTTATTCTTAGTGTAATAAAAGCCACAGGATGGTTTTGAGCAGGAGAGTGAGATCTGACTACGTTTTTCCTCCAGATGCTTGTACTATTCATACCCTCACCTCCTGCAGGTCTCTATTTAAAAGTCACCTTCTCAGGAGGTTTTCCCTGGCTACCCTCTCAAAAACTGTTGCACTCCCTTCTCTGCTTTATTTCCTTCTTAGTATTTAATCACATTTAACATGCCATGGCATTTCTGACTTAACCAACTCTCTCTGCTACAATAACTTCAGGAGGGTAGGAGTTTTTGCCTGGTTTGTTTACTGTTGTATCCTCAGGTCCCAGAACAGTACCTACTACACAGATGTTCAATAAATACTTGTCAAATGTATGAAGTATAGGTTTAAAAATTATTTTGATTGCTATGTACAGAATAAACTAGAGCATAGCAAGAGTGGGGTGTAAAGGAGCCAAATGCAACAATCCAGGCAAGAGGTAATAGGATTTAGACCAGAGTGATGGTAGGAGAGGAGGACAGTTTGGAGTATGTACTTTGGAGGTGGAGGTAACAGGTTAGACAGATGAGGTGAATTTGACAGATTAGATGTTGGAAGAAGGGAAATTATGACTTTCTGACTTGAGCAGTGGATGATGCCATTTACTGAGACAGAGAAGACTGGAGCAAACAAATTGTGCATTGGAGAAGAAAGGGGAAGTTGTGGAAACAAGCATTCTATTCTCCTTGCTTCCTCTGTCGTGCCTGACACACTGACACTGCTCAGCTTTGAAAATCTTAACACAGGGACAAGTCCATTCACCTAGGACCAGAGTGCCCAGAGTACCTGGATACATGCTACGGATATGTGTTAGAGAGCAACTCAAGAAAACACAAACTTTGTCACTAGGTTGAAGATTGATGAAATGAAAATAAAAACAAATTCCAAAACACCAAATCCTGCCTGGAGGCTCTACTATAATGGTGATGTTGAGAGGTCAATGGTATGTCTAAGATAAACTTCTTAATCTCATGCTCTGTTGCTCTAGCAGTGAAATACACGGTTAAAAATCATAGGTTTGGGGAATCAGACAGATCTAAGTTCAATCACAGTTCGACCACTTCTTAGCTGTGAAACCTTGGTCGAGTTACTTTGAACCTCTCCGGGTTGGTTCCTCAGCTGTACAACATGGAATAATATTGAATGTCTCACCTCAAAGGGTTGAGGGGGTTCAAAGAATGTGTAAAGTGAAGGGCCAAGTATAATCCCGGCCATATAACTCGGTAAGTGGTAGTGACTACTACAATGACTGTGGTTATGCACACTTCATTTCGGAGAAGCAGCTCCAACTCAGATAAACTAAGTTTACACTCCAAACGTCTAGTCTAGTTAACCGCACTAGGTTAGCTTCCCAAACTCGCCACAAAGACAGACATTTCAATTTCTTTTCTAGGATCCAGGGGGGCAGCTCAGGCTGAAGGGAATAAACACCACGCAACCCTGAAGAAACGTCAACTCGAAAAAGTACCACTTCCAGTGCGGCACCTCTTTACAAAAAAGAAAGTACCAGACACACGGTATGGACGAAATTCCCCTCGCCCTGGCAAACTTTTCCACACCTCATCCAGAGTGAGAGGACATCCTGAGAAAGGGAGCACGCACTCCCGACCTGGCGCCCGAGCGGGTTCCGAGTCCGTTATTGTGTAAATGAAGCTCCCCGGGCCGGCAGGGAGGCTCCGGGCTCCGGCATCATCGCCGACGGCGCTGGGGGAAGGCTTCGAGTTTAGGACCCTGGCCTGGAGGCCTCAGGGCGCCTGACTTACAGGCGTTTCTGGAAACGGCAACTGCGAGCGAAGGGGCTGGGGTATGGAGGGTCCTGGATGAGGGGTGGGATTACCCGGCTGCCGCTGTCGCCTGGATGGTCTCCGCGGCCGTCCCGGGAGAAGTCGGCGCGGGACTCCCCCCGGCTGCTGCCTCGAAAGCCAGCCGGGCCCGGCGGGAAGAGTCGTCGGCCCCGCGGTGGCGACGGGGAGCCACGACGGGCCCGCGGCGGGGACGGCGAGGCCCGGCGGCCGCGGTGCCCTGAGGGCGAGCGGGGTCGCCGAGCGGGGGTCCGCGACGAGGAGGAACCGGTGGGCGGCGGCGAGGTGCGGCGAGCCGGGCCTGAGGAGGAGCCGGAGCTGCGGCCGGTGCGCGGGCCGCCACCGCTGCCGTCTTTAGGCCGGTGGGAAGAGACGGAGGAGCGGGCGCCGCTGCGGTACATGGTTCTGGAAGCAGCGGCCGCGGCTGCAGCTCCAGCCCGGGGGCGCCCTAGACGCGGGCCCCGAGCGCGCCGCCTCAGCTGCAGCCGCCGCCACCGCGGCCGCCGCGCACCGCCTCAGCCGCCAGATCAGCCCCCTCCCCTCGCCCCAGCGCCACAGCCTGGGGTTCGGCCGAGCGCGCCCCCGCGGCCGCGGCCGGCGGTTGGAGGGCGCGAGCACGCGTCCGACACACCCCCCCGCCTCCGGGGCTCCCCGCTCCTCCACTCAGGGAGCGGCCACAGGAGCCTGGAGAAGCGGGGAGGAGCGCGGAAGCCGGCGCGAGGCTGGCGAGGGGAGGGAAAACGAAGCGCGCGCCCTGAGCTCGGCACGCTCCGCCTCCAAACTCTTAAGATGGCGGCCGCTGAGCCACCCACTTCCCCTCCCCCGGCAGCCACGTGACCCTGAGGGCCTCCACGCGGGGTGGGCGGGGCGGAAGGGAGGGATTGGCGGGAGAAGAGTCTGGCCTTCCGGAGAAGCCCGAGGCCTCGGGACTGGACGGGTTTTGAGACCCGGGAGCATCTTCGCCCTGTCCCTGTCCCCTGGAATATAAATGACCCCTCAAAACGTTTGCTAAGTCGGAGGTTATGCTCCTTGTCCAGAGCACCTACCAACGTCCCGGCCCCCACGGAAGCAGTGCGACAACTGGAAAGTCAGTTTACTTCACAGTTTGATTTATGGGGGTTGAAATTGAAGATGGGAAAGTGCAGGTTAGGGGTGAGAATCAAACACAAAATAGTCATCACTAAGTTTTCGAGAGGTCTTTTTCTGACCCAGTATTTGTGGTCATGGTGGATGGAGGTCACTCACTACCAGGGTTCCATATGATGACAAAGAGGCGAGTTTTTTGTGAGAGATTCTGATACTACCACTGCCCCCCAACCCTATGACTAGAGTTTCCCTAGATGCCAGTCTCTGGGCTCCGCAACCTAATTATAAAAGTCAAGAAAAGACAACACAAAAGAACACAATGGTCAAAACATATGAAAAAGATGTGGACTGTAAACAATGACTTAATATTTTTCATCTATCAACTAGCAATATAATACAAAACCTGAAATTGTCTAAAAAAAAAAGTCAGGGCCAGTCTTAGTGGCTCTGTCCTGTAATCCTAGCACTTTGTGAAGCTGAGGGAACCATGGCTTGAGATCAGGAGTTGGTGACCAGCCTGAGCAACACTGGGATAACTGGTCTCTACAAAAAGTAGAACAATTAGCTGGGGGCGTGGTGGTGCTTGCCTGTAGTTCCAGCCACTCAGGAGGCTGAAGCAGGGCGACTGTTTGGTGCCAGGAGTTTGAGGTTTCAGTGGTCTGTGATGACCTCCACTGCACTCTAGCCCAGGCAACAGAGGGAGACCCTATCTCAAAAAAAGTCAGGTTTCTGGCCAGGTGTGGTAGTTCACACTTGTAATCCTAACATTCTTGGTAGGCAGAGACAGGAAGATCACTTGAGGTCAGGAGTTGGAGACCAGCCTGAGCAAGAGCAGAGCAGACCCCGACCATTGCATTCTACCTGGGCAACAGAGTGGGACTCTGTCTCAAAAAAA